AACCACATCATCTAACAGCTACAGACTCCTAGCTAGTTCCTCAATTCCCACCTGTCTATCCATAACCAAAAAATAATAATTTAAAAAGACATGCAATAGGTTTTAAATATTGTAGACACCAATCACTGGTGTCGTGAGAACAGTCACATAACAACAGGAAGTGAGGCCATAAATCACCTCCGGCTAAAACATATTTCATGCAAGAACAGTGATAAAATGATATCTTGGCTAATGTATAAATATGTAATATTCTTTGTCTAGACTGTTGTTATTACTTCTTTGCCCATTCATCTATTTGAGTAGATTGGATCATACTGTTGTTATTTACTCGAGACCTATATATATATATATACATGCACATATTCTTTATTTTGAAGTTTTAAAAAAGAAAAATATCAAATTTGACAGGCAGGCTTTCATGACCATATACAACAAAATTCAACAGCATTCCAAGAATAATACGAAAGTATTAATCAGAATATGTCGATGCAAATGTGTTCAAATTGTTCAAAGGTTAACAATAAAGAAACAACATAATCATGCAAAACATTAACAAAGAAATAAGGAAAATGATAAAAAGGTTTGATCAATGCAAAGTAAATATCATTTCATTTTCTGAAAGAAGCAAATTGTGATAAAACAGCACACTTTGTAATTCCATTTCTAGCTACATTGACAAGGGAATGGATTACAGAAGGAACTAAGGGGAAGACAAGCACAATGTAACCGTGGATACGAGGTGTACACAAAACATCTAGACACTTACGGTGATTCGTCCTGAGCTGAGGTTTGAGACTAAGAGTAAGATACAGTGTGAAGTTATAATGGGTTATATAGACATAATCCACAATGGGCTATATAGACATAATCCACAATGGGTTATATAGACATACTCCATTATGGGCTATATAGACATAATCCACAATGGGTTATATAGACATAATCCACAATGGGCTATATAGACATAATCCACAATGGGCTATATAGACATAATCCACAATGGGCTATATAGACATAATCCACAATGGGTTATGGACAAACATCTTGTGGCGAAATTTATATATCAAAACTGGTTTTGTGCAAATTCCGAAACTGACTATCGTGAAAATCAACATTGTTTTGGACAAAAATCAATAGTGTGCTATGGGAAAACAATAACCGAGCTATGTGTTATAGGATAATCCATGTTCCTGTATTGTATGGCCCAAATCAATGCTGGAGTTTGGGGTCAATCAGAGATGTGTTAGGTACTAATAATATATTGTTAATCCAAACTTAACTTAAAGTAAACAAATCTGGACAAGTCTTCAAATTTAACATGACCGTAATAAAACTCTATTTCACACATATGATTGGAATACTTATATATACAGATCCTATCAGAAGTAATAGCGTAGAACATTTTTATATTCGTTAACAAGAATCTTTTAAAGGTTTGGTCGATCAAACTGATACAGGAGGTAGTTATCAATGTTAAAATATATCATATTAGACAGGAATTAATGGTAAATCTGTATAGATACTCACAAACTGAATATAAATTATCCCACTCAATAAACAACAAGTTATGAATGTCTGAGCATAATTTACTAACTGTTGGATCAGGTAACTATCCATCAACATTACAATCAATGAAGGGGAACCCTGAGGCCTGGTTTGGTCTGTCATTATAGTGGTCACAACTAATGGAAACCCAGTGAGTTACAAATAACAATGAATCCTGACATAAATATCCTACAATATTGTCAGTAATGGATCGCTGGTTACCTTACCGACACCCGTAGTAAGCCACTGGTTACATACTTGTCAGTAATGGATCGCTGGTTACCTCACTGACACCCGTAGTAACCCACTGGTTATGTTATTGACAGTAATGGATCGCTGGTTACCTTACCAACACCCGTAGTAACCCATTGGTTATGATATCGACAGTCATAGATCATTGGTTACCTTACTGACACCTGTAGTAACCCACTGGTTATGATATTGACGGTTATAGATCATTGGTTACCTTACCAACCCCCGTAGTAACCCATTGGTTATGATATTGACAGTTATAGATCATTGGTTACCTTACCAACTCCCGTAGTAACCCATTGGTTATGATATTGACAGTCATAGATCCTTGGTTACCTTACTGACACCTATAGTAACCCACTGGTTATGATATTGACGGTTATAGATCATTGGTTACCTTACCAACACCTGTAGTAAGCCAATGGTCACATTATTGTCAGTAATGGATCATTGGTTACCTTACCAACACCCGTAGTAACCCACTGGTTATGTTATTGACAGTAATGGATCGCTGGTTACCTTACCGACCCCCGTAGTAACCCACTGGTTATGATATTGACAGTTATAGATCATTGGTTACCTTACTGACACCTGTAGTAACCCACTGGTTATGATATTGACGGTTATAGATCATTGGTTACCTTACCCCCACCCGTAGTAACCCATTGGTTATGATATTGACAGTTATAGATCACTGCTTACCTTACCGACACCCGTAGTAACCCACTGGTTATGATATTGACGGTTATAGATCATTGGTTACCTTACCAACACCTGTAGTATACCACTGGTCACATTATTGTCAGTAATGGATCATTGGTTACCTTACTGACACCTGTAGTAACCCACTGGTTATGATATTGACAGTAATGGATCACTGGTTACCTTACTGTCACCCGTAGTAACCCACTGGTTATGTTATTGACAGTAATGGATCACTGCTTACCTTACTGTCACCCGTAGTAACCCACTGGTTATGTTATTGATAAATATCCTACAATATTGTCAGTAATGGATCGCTGGTTCCCTTACTGGCACCCGTAGTAAGCCACTGGTTACATACTTGTCAGTAATGGATCGCTGGTTACCTTACCGACACCCGTAGTAAGCCCCTGGTTACATAATTGTCAGTAATGGATCGCTGGTTACCTTACTGACACCCGTATTAACCCACTGGTTATGATAGTGACAGTTATAGATCATTGGTTACCTTACTGACACCTGTAGTAACGCACTGGTTATGATATTGACAGTAATGGATCATTGGTTACCTTACTGACACCTGTAGTAACCCACTGGTTATGATATTGACAGTTATAGATCATTGGTTACCTTACCAACACCCGTAGTAACCCATTGGTTATGATATTGACAGTCATAGATCATTGGTTACCTTACTGACACCTGTAGTAACCCACTGGTTATGATATTGACAGTTATAGATCATTGGTTACCTTACCAACCCCCGTAGTAACCCATTGGTTATGATATTGACAGCCATAGATCATTGGTTACCTTACTGACCCCTGTAGTAACCCGCTGGTTACATTATTGACAGTAATGGATCACTGGTTACCTTACTGACGCCCGTAGTAACCCACTGGTTATGTTATTGTCAGTAATGGATCGCTGGTTACCTTACCGACCCCCGTAGTAACCCACTGGTTATGATATCGACAGTTATAGATCACTGGTTACCTTACTGACACCCGTAGTAACCCAATGGCTATGATATTGACAGTTATAGATCATTGGTTACCTTACTGACACCTGTAGTAACCCGCTGGTTACATTATTGACAGTAATGGATCACTGGTTACCTTACTGACACCCGTAGTAACCCACTGGTTATGATATTGACAGTTATGGATCATTGGTTACCTTACTGACACCTGTAGTAACCCGCTGGTTACATTATTGACAGTAATGGATCACTGGTTTCCTTACTGACACCCGTAGTAACCCACTGGTTATGTTATTGACAGTAATGGATCACTGCTTACCTTACTGACACCAGTAGTAACCCACTGGTTATGATATTGTCAGTTATAGATCACTGCTTACCTTACCGACGCCCGTAGTAACCCACTGGTTATGATATTGTCAGTTATAGATCACTACTTACCTTACTGACACCCGTAGTAACCCAATGGTTATGATATTGACTGTTATAGATCACTGGTTACCTTACTGACACCCGTAGTAACCCACTGGTTATGATATTGTCAGTAATGGATCACTGGTTACCTTACTGACACCCGTAGTAACCCACTGGTTATGATATTGACAGTTATAGATCACTGGTTACCTTACCGACACCCGTATTAACCCACTGGTTACGATATTGTAAGTTATAGATCATTGGTTACCTTACTGACATCTGTATTAACCCACTGGTTATGATATTGACAGTTAAAGATCACTGGTTACCTTACTGACACCCGTAGTAACCCAATGGTTATGATATTGTCAGTAATGGATCGCTGGTTACCTTACTGACACCCGTATTAACCCACTGGTTATGATATTGACAGTTATAGATCATTGGTTACCTTACCGACACCCGTATTAACCCACTGGTTACTATATTGTCAGTAATAGATCACTGCCTACCTTACCGACACCCGAAGTAACCCACTGGTTACGATATTGTCAGTTATAGATCATTGGTTACCTTATTACCGACACCCGTGTTAACCCACTGGTTACTATATTACAACTATTGGATGTGTCTGGTTGATAACCATACCTAGTCATTGTACTCGTGTTCAGGGTATTACATAAGATCGTGACTGGCATGAATACAAACCAGTAAACAAATGACATGCTAAAACAGACAACCTTAAACCCAAATATGCATCATACACACTTATAATGCTCTGTAAATCTGATAAACATCTGAATATATAATGATCCATGCATATCATTTATTTATTTATTTAATTAATGTACCATTCCACCTCCCTTTGCTATATATGATGACAAAGAAAATATGAAGAAATTTCAAACCCAATTCATTATTTAAATCAACAGAAATTTGAAACTCTTTCTTAAAATTATATCTGAACAGGTTTCAAAGTTTTCGACCGGTTGTAAAATTGAATATTCATGAGTCCAAAAACACACTTCCTCCTTCCTCTGGTCTGATCTACTGGAGGATAGCCAAAACTCAACCTAAGTCATACTTCCTGAGAACCGCCCATTACCACAAGATATGTCTGGTATATCTTAGATTTACTTTGAATTATTCCAGTCATTGTAATACCATTCTTGTTTGTTTTTATATGTGCCAAATCTGATTGTGTAATATTTAACCTGACATAACCTGAGTGTATATTATGAATGGACCTTCTAACACAAAAATCTCAGCTATTTCATTGAGTGACTAAACCAATACATAATACACACATACTGATGTATAAGGGACTATACCTTTAGATATATAAATAGAATACAGGATCAGGTAGGATGTAGATACCAGTTATACATTTTGATATTTTACACTTACCTCCTCTGCCTTTAATAAACGGTCGTAGAGCTGGCCCTGTTCCTCGTAATATTCTCCATCCCCGTTCATGTGGGAATTTCGCATTTGATAATCCATGAAGTAGATTTCTTCTGTCTGCGTCCCTTGGTGTACACGATTCCGCTTCTGGCGCTGTGACATTTTCCGTTTTGATGAGTATGTTAATTCTTGAGTGGGCGTTCCTGGACACAAAATGAGGCAAACATTGTGAGATTGCAGAAATTGTCCACATGTCTAAATCGCTCACATAAGCATGTCAACATGCTTAATTTTGTATAATATACAGCATTTGGTATAGCGCCCTATCTAGCTAACATACGTGGGTATATATATGCATGCGTGTGTGTGTTGGAGATGTATTGTGTCATGTTTGTAGTGGGACCGTGCTTCCAACGGTATCATTTATAGTGCCACATCACTTGAACGCTACAGCACAGATACCACAACATCCACCCAGACCATTTTATACTCCATCTAGGTTGTTGGAGTTGTGTGGGCAGGAGAAAAAACACTTTCTCTAAATATCCATGCATACAACAACTTCGGGGATCGAACCCGGCCGCCTGCGTGGAAGGCCGGAGCGTTAACCACTCGACCAATCCGCCCAGTTAATTTCTAAACAGCAACAGGTTATTGTTTATGAAATCACAAAGATATGCAAACGTCTCTAACTATTGACAAAGATATATCAACATTTAAAATCTGTTGACAGAAAAAGGTCAATACTGTGAAATCACATACAGAAATATTTCACGAAATCTCCAAATCGCTAACACTGACATGTCAACAGATTAAACTTGTTAACAGGTCAACATTGTCAGGTTAAAGAAGATGTTGTCATCGCCAGATTGAAAACAAACATACAAATGAACAATTGTATGTTTGATATGGTAATGATATTTCAACAATAGGTAAATGCTGTCAAAGAGAACAGAATACAAGAGTTACCTGCACAAGAAGGCATTCCACCCATCAAGCACTGGTTACATTGAATGGGTTTGGTGCATTTGTTATAAGTAATACAGGTATATTAATGTTGTTACATTTCCTTAAATGTTTTGAAAGGTAGTTTCCTTCTTCCTTCAGTGATAATTAGGCCACAAGTCAATGCAATCAAAACATTAAGTAATTTTCTCTTTTAGATGACTTCTCTAAATAATGACTGACCTTGTTATTTTACAACTCATTACAATTACAAATATGAATGACAACAAATCATAATAACAATACACCCGAAATGTTAACACTTGTTTTAAGACACTTTATCTGTTGACACTTGTCTTTAAGACACTTTATCTGTTAACACTTGTTTTAAGACACCTTTCCTGTTGACACCTACCTTTAAGACACTTTATCTGTTAACACTTGTCTTGAAGACACTTTATCTGTTAACACCTACCATGAAGACACTTAATCTGTTAACACCTACCATGAAGACACTTTATCTGTTAACACCTACCTTTAAGACACTTTATATGTTAACACTTGTCTTGAAGACACTTTATCTGTACCATGAAGACACTTTATCTGTTAACACCTACCATGAAGACACTTTATCTGTTAACACTTGTCTTTAAGACACTTTATCTGTTGACACTTGTCTTTAAGACACTTTATCTGTTGACACTTGTCTTTTAGACACTTTATCTGTTACCACCTACCATGAAGACACTTTATCTGTAACACCTCCCATGAAGACACTTTATCTGTTAACACTTGTCTTTAAGACACTTTATCTGTTGTCACTTGTCTTTAAGACACTTTATCTGTTGACACTTGTCTTTAAGACACTGTATCTGTTGACACTTGTCTTTAAGACACTTTATCTGTTGACACTTGTCTTTAAGACACTTTATCTGTTGACACTTGTCTTTTAGACACTTTATCTGTTACCACCTACCATGAAGACACTTTATCTGTAACACCTACCATGAGGACACTTTATCTGTTAACACTTGTCTTTAAGACACTTTATCTGTTGTCACTTGTCTTTAAGACACTTTATCTGTTGACACTTGTCTTTAAGACACTGTATCTGTTGACACTTGTCTTTAAGACACTTTATCTGTTGACACTTGTCTTTTAGACACTTTATCTGTTAACACCTACCATGAAGACCCTTAATCTGTTAACACCTACCATGAAGACACTTTATCTGTAACACCTCCCATGAAGACACTTTATCTGTTAACACTTGTCTTTAAGACACTTTATCTGTTGTCACTTGTCTTTAAGACACTTTATCTGTTGACACTTGTCTTTAAGACACTTTATCTGTTGACACTTGTCTTTTAGACACTTTATCTGTTACCACCTACCATGAAGACACTTTATCTGTAACACCTCCCATGAAGACACTTTATCTGTTAACACTTGTCTTTAAGACACTTTATCTGTTGACACTTGTCTTTAAGACGCTTTATCTGTTAACACTTGTCTTTAAGACACTTTATCTGTTGACACTTGTCTTTAAGACACTTTATCTGTTGACACTTGTCTTTAAGACGCTTTATCTGTTAACACTTGTCTTTAAGACACTTTATCTGTTGTCACTTGTCTTTAAGACACTTTATCTGTTGACACTTGTCTTTAAGACACTGTATCTGTTGACACTTGTCTTTAAGACACTTTATCTGTTGACACTTGTCTTTAAGACACTTTATCTGTTGACACTTGTCTTTAAGATGCTTTATCTGTTAACACTTGTCTTTAAGACACTTTATCTGTTGACACTTGTCTTTAAGACACTTTATCTGTTGACACTTGTCTTTAAGACACTGTATCTGTTGACACTTGTCTTTAAGACACTTTATCTGTTAACACTTGTCCTTAAGACACATTATTCTTTAACATCTCTACTTTTCCTCTACTTTAGAAGAAGCAAGATGAAGGTGTGAAGTGATAAGAAAACTTACCGTTTGTTACAGAATCTTGTCGTCGGTTACATGCTGCGTGCTGCTTACTTCGACATTCCATCACAACCAGGTCTTTACAATGTTTATGGGCATTTATACCACAGTCTGAAACAGGACACAACTACATGTAGCTCACCTCAGGCAGTCAAACATCTAGCTTTCATGACACAGCACATACACATTATGAGAAAAATTATTCCATTTACCAGTTATAACTTTTTAAAACTAATGGAGTGCGGTTAGTTCCTTACTCATTGGTTATTAGTTTAAATCTGAGCTAGTGTATGAAAATGTTCGCGTCAACATAATGATCAAAGTTTGAACACCTGTAGGCTAAAAGACAAAAGGTTCAACACATCAAAGTTCAAGTATTGTGTGAGAATATGCACCGCTAACAAAGCCCTACACCAGCTCAAAGGCGAAAATTTATATCCTGATGATATGTGACTGAGAGATTGGAATAGATTTTAAAGGTTTACAAACAAAATGAATGAAGCACCGTAATTAGCATTTCAGATTTTTATAGTCACCAAGTTTAAATGATATCCCATGTAAGAGAAAATTATACGATGGATTTTAAAATATACACAACCATGTTTCATCATAACAAATACACTATGTAACATTCCTTTTAGTGACGAGTACCGTGACACTAATTATACAAATTCCAAAATTGTGGGGAAAACTTAATGAGTACTGCTGAATAAGGTGCTTTGTCATCTTGTTTTTGTGTGACTGACAATAGCCGAGTGTACAATAACAAATCGGTAGGTTTATATGATAAATACCGGGTATAGAACAACACTGCTTTTACGACCACCTACCTCTGATCTATTTATATAGGTATCAATACACACTTCCACAGATTACAATTACAATGGAAATATTCTTTGTTACCATTCTCTACTTAGGAGACTCTATTTATTTTAATATTTATTCGATAAACAAGCCAGATCTTGAACACTGATCTTCTCTTTGAAATATCACCTTCAGAATTTTAAAAGGAATATTTAATTTCGGTCAAGTTTGCTTGTGTATAAGAATAAGTTTTAGTCAAAACAATTTAAACACGATCTATTGCAAACCATACTGACAGGAACATGATCTTATTGCTGATAAGAAAATGTAAATATTTTGATACAAATTACAAATTTACACCAAAGTATCCTCAGTCAATAAAACCTAGACATTTAACACAAACTACCTAACCTAGCTTAATATAGCTTTACCGCTGTGACATCTTTCACATGAATTGAAATTTAACAGTTATAAATGATCTTGTTCTAACAAATATCAGTTTTATACTACAAAACTTCTGATGTTCATTGAAGACTGAACTAACAATTTATTTTTTCTTTCCAGTACTGTATAAATTATTGATTTCTTTTAAAGTGATATACAACACACTTCCTGCCCATCTCTATCAGCTATCGAAATTGTGACCACCCCCCATTACTGCCCACCTCCATCAGCTATCTAAATTGTGACTACCGCCCATTACTGCCCACCTCCATCAGCTATCTAAATTGTGACCATCGCCCATTACTACCCACCTCCATCAACTATCTAAATTGTGACCACCGCCACTTACTACCCACCTCCATCAGCTATCTAAATTGTGACCACCGCCCATTACTGCCCATGTCCATCAGCTATCTAAATTGTGACCACCGCCCATTACTGCCCACCTCCATCAGCTATCTCAATTGTGACCACCGCCCATTACTGCCCCCCCCCATCAGCTATCTAAATTGTGACCACCGCCACTTACTACCCACCACCATCAGCTATCTAAATTGTGACCACCGCCCATTACTGCCCACGTCCATCAGCTATCTAAATTGTGACCCCCCCCCATTACTGCCCACCTCCATCAGCTATCTCAATTGTGACCACCGCCCATTACTGCCCCCCCCCATCAGCTATCTAAATTGTGACCACCGCCACTTACTACCCACCTCCATCAGCTATCTAAATCATTACTGCCCACTTAGAGACTAATACCTGTAACCTACACTACCCACTTAGAGACTTATACCTGAAACCTTTACTATCCCACTTAGAGACTAATACCTGTAATACCTGAAACCTTTACTATCCCACTTAGAGACTAATACCTGTAACCTTCACTATCCACTTCTAGACAGCTTCTCACTTCGAAACCACTACCCACTTCGAAACCACTACCCAGTCACTACCCACTTCAAAACCACTACCCAGCCACTACCCACTTCAAAACCACTACCCAGCCACTACCCACTTAGAAAGCACTACCCAGTCACTACGTACCCACTTCAAACCACTACCCAGTCACTACCCACTTCGAAACCACTACCAACCCCCTACCCCCTTAAAACCCACTCCCCAGCCACTACCCACTTCGAAACCACTACCCAGTCACTACGTACCCACTTCAAAACCACTACCCAGCCACTTCCCTCTTCGAAACCACTACCCAGCCACTACCCACTTCGAAACCACTACCAACCCCCTACCCCCTTAAAACCCACTCCCCAGCCACTACCCACTTCGAACCCACTACCCAGTCACTACGTACCCACTTCAAACCACTACCCAGTCACTCCCCACTTCGAAACCACTACCCAGTCACTACGTACCCACTTCAAACCACTACCCAGTCACTCCCCACTTCGAAACCACTACCCAGTCACTTCCCACTTTGAAATGGCTACCCAGTCACTACCCACTTTGAAACCACTACCCAGTCACTTCCCACTTTGAAATGACTACCCAGTCACTACCCACTTTGAAACCACTACCCAATCACTACCCACTTTGAAACCACTACCCAGCCACTTCCCACTTCGAAACCACTACCCAGTCACTATCCATTTCGAT